GCCTTCTTAATCATAAGATAATGCTATTTAAAATTTTGTATTCGGGTGATGCAATACTTTTGAGCGCCACTGTATGTATGCATTTATGTAAATACATGCTGAATTATGGACCTTTATACGCATTTTGGTGCTATTATATGAAACGAATGAATGGATTGTTAGGTAATTATCTAATTATATCATTTTTTGATATCAACATTTACTAATATTTGAATATTTTTTTAGGATCAATTCATAGCAGCCATAGAAAAATTAAACCCAAGCTTTTGAAAATCATTTAAAATAATGCTCTTTTGGATAAATTAACATCTCGCATTGAACAAAATCAGAATTTTTGAGAAAATCTTAAAATATTAAAGCCGAAAGATCCAGTTAAAAGTTTTTTCATATATGATGAATATTCCGACGAAGAAAATCAGACATTTCGCTTATTATCAACAAAAATGGAAGAAGATGCAGCCTATGGTTCTGAATCATTTTCAGGCTCTTTTCTAGGTCCATTAAGAAAAAATGTAATACTACAGCAAGAAATCCAACAGTTATTAGCTGATTTTTATTATAACACATACAATAAAGACTTTGTTACATTATTACGTATCCATGATGCTTCAGATTCCTCTATTCCTGTTGAACCAAATATCAATCAATTTAGTTGATTAAGAATCAGAACAGAAGTATTCAGTTCAACATTAACTTCTTGACATATCAAATCAGTGAAAATATTGGCCCGTTTCTTTATGGATGATGTTAATTCTGACATATACCCTGGTCAAATCCAGTTCTTTTTTAAACACACAGTTTATCTACTGAAACTAAAATGCATTATCTAGCATTCGTGAGATGATATAAGCCAGCCAAAAATTACAATATTAGATTTCACTGCAAAATAAATAATAATGATAAATCTTGTAACATTGAGTTATGGAAATTAGAATTTTATGAAGTTGGAAGAGATTGTATTATACATATTCATAATATATTATGTCAATTCGTTTGAAGAAGCTTTGAAATCAGTAAAATAACAAAAGAAAGTATATAACAATTATTCCGATAAATAGAAAATTTCATATTTAATTAATGGTACGTTTAAAAAGAATATTTCTTTATTGTTTTAAATTTATGTATTGTTTTACATTCATTGTATTACATTTATTGTTTCACATGTATTGTTTATTTAATGTTACTGTTAATTTTTATTTTAATTTAGATGTTGTATTGATTAATTAAATTAATTAAGTGATCTAATTTTAAACTATTGTATTTTATTTGATTTCAAAATAAAGAACGAAAGAATTTTATTTTTTTATTGAATTTTTATTTTGTTACAGCTTTATTACAATAAATATAATACAATAAATACAATAAACTAATCTGACGTAGTAGTTAGTAAATCACCTGATAGGACATCGA